TAAATATATATATATATAGGAATATATAGGAAGACTTGCTGACTTATTTTAGTTGGATTTCATTTGTTCCCTTTGGAATTTTCACCCTATCTAAATATAAGAAAAAAGGGTTAAAATCTGATAAACTCTGTTTACAACACTGTCTGGTTTATTTGATAATCAAGGTGGCTAATTGTTCTTGAATCTACCTTTCTTCATATTCTTATCTTATTGACACATTTCTATTAATCACCACCTGTTTTGCTTATCTCTGTCTTCTGATACTTTTCTTTCTGTCTTCTTCTATTTCCATCACTACTGAAATAATTGCAAAACTGCTCCTTGATAGTAATTTTTTTATACAAGCACAGCACATGGTACAGCACAGGTAAAGAAAACTTTATGATAAGTTATCTCCAAGGAAATCCTCTCTTGCCTAAAATTGTATAAAACCTGCAATTTTAGGGGAACATAAGCAGTTTTGAATAAGTGGAACACCTAAAAGTAAACAAATAATTACATAATCCATAGCCTAATCTCAACAGGATTTTTGCAATAACAGTAAAAACCTTAAACCATCTCTTTTTCATGACAGAAGAGGGGAAGAAGTGGTCTCAATCTTGGCCTGCCAGGTTTCTGGACAGGAATAGAAACAGAACATATTAGCTAAGACACACTGAAGAGAGTTAATGTAAGGAAACCTTGGGTATCTATGGGTGAGATGCCCTCTCTTAGTATGTTATTTAGATTCTTCCCTGTAGCTGATAGAGCTAGTCACCTCTATATAGTAACATATCCCATTTTGGGTACTTCTTTTAAGATGACATGAATGGCTTCCTCTTGCCTATTGCTTGTCACTGGCTATAAGAAAGGCCCAAAGGAAGAGCTTGTGGGTTTGTGGCTTACACCAGGTGAGATAGACTCTGAAAGGTCACTTCCTATGGCTAGGCCAAGATGTAATGGTACAACAAAGCCCTATCCTGTGGATCTTACCTTATACAAGGTCCACTTTAAAACATTTTTAAACGACCATGAATGTTAGGTTTAGCATTGATTAATTTGATGGTTTGTTAATTTTAAAATTGACTCAGCTAATTTGTAGTGTTTGATATTCTGGACTGTGTGGTCATAATAACTTTTGTTATGTGCAAAAATGTTTGTTTTCCCTTAAAGGCTGGCTTGTCTCTTTGTTGAAATGGGTCTCATTTTCTGGATCATTTGGAAACTTAACATATTAGAAAGAAATAATTGATGATTATAAGCAGGCATGAACCAGTGTTCCAACATGTTGCAGCTGGAGATCAGGGTACACAAGAGAAACAGGACTGAATCTTCTTCATAGTTTGCCAAGAGTTCTTATGATGTGAGCTAGTTTCCAGGCACAGGGGACTATTAAAAAAAAAAAAAAAGTAGCCTTGGATAGCCTTGTTATGTAAGGTATATTAAGGTACTCCTTTCAAAAGGATCTGCAATTTGGGAATTTCTTACCAAGTTTCCTAACCTTTCAAACCAAATCAAGCTCTGTATAGCACTAATTTTAATCCTGTACATCACTAATATTCGTATCTAGACCATCTTTCAAAAAGTTCACCACAGTGCATAGGCAGCAGGGCACAGACAGTTCCTAGAACTACATATGCTGGTATGCACTTGTTCAAAAGTAAATGTAGATGTTTTTTGCATGGCTTTAGGTTTTTGTAACTAATTTCAGTACATCTTGGTGAATTAAAAGTGTAGCAGTTTCTCTGACATTGTTGAACACACCTGCACTTTTCTGTTGAGTTACAAAGCTGAAGCATTTAAAGGGACTCAGAGCAATCAAAACCATCACAATAAGATGCCTAAAAAGGTCAGAGAAAATGTCTAGATGTGCTGGACAATCATCTAAATCATTCAGCAAAGAGCTCTCATCAGGAAAATACTGCATTACTGTATACCCACTACCAATCGCTTGCAATTTTTTCTGAAAAATTAGACTTTTAAACTGCTTGGTCAACTGTATTGTGCTATATGAAAAATGAAAAAGAAGAACAGAATCTGCAATTAATAAATTTTAAAAAACCCACAACTTTTGCAGTGCTGGACATATGTTAAAACTTCCAAAATGCTTGTTATCTGACAAAGAACTGAGATTCAACAAAAATGTGATAGTATGTCAGCTGTATTTTAAAAGGGGTTAGGCATGTATGAATTAGGCATGTGAAAGAAAGACAGAGAAGCAGAAACAAGCAAATTTGAAATGTATGTCAAAATACGCCACATAAGATTGTAGGAGAATTACAGGAATAACTGGAAAGTGACTTTCTCATATAATTAAGAGATCAGAGTTTGACCTGAACTCAAAATTTAATTTAAATTTAGTCGTGGCTTTATAACATTTGGTTTCCAAAGTTCCAGGCAGAGGTGAGATGCAGAATTTCTACAGAACATGTTTTTTGTACTTAACCAGATATTGACTGTTATCATCTAAGGACACATCAAGCTCTAGGCCATCATTGATCCAATATACTTTGGGTTTCCATTATAAAAGGTTCCCTTTCATTAGAGTTTTAAAAGATCTAGTGTGAGAAAGTAAAAGATCCTGTATTCGTGACCTGAAATAATCTACTCTTTATGAAAGGCTGACAAATCACAGGGAATCAAAGAATGTGTCTGTGGCTGCAGAGGTTTTATCTGAGTTTAATCTAGGGGTCACTGGAAAATTCAATGCATAATTGAAGATTCATCAAAAAGAACTTCTCAGATTAAAAGCTATGTTTACTGTGTGAATGAGCAGTCCTGGTGTGCTGCTTTGCTTCCATGTTGTTTGAAGTCACTTTCCTTTTTTTAAATTTCAATAATAAAAGAAACAGCTCAAGGAATATGAATAATCACATCAGGTGCTGGTTTGCTCTTCTAAAACGCAGCAGCTTTCTGTGTGGAAATGGACTTTCTATATTTCAGATAAGTGATACCACAAACCCTACAACCTCACTCTACCAAGCAGGCCCCAGTCAGCCCTCACATGCTCTAGTATTCACCATTTTGCTTGATTTCACAGAGTTTTTCTTTTCAGATTTTGGGGAAAGAGAAGTCAAGTGAAAAAACAATCCTATTGTAATTCCCAAACCAAAAGAAACCTGGAATGTGTTTTGTAAAGCCCACCTTTTGAATTATTTTTTAAGTAACACCATACTATTCTGAGCCTTTCATGAGATGCTCAAGATGGAGAGCTGCCTGGAGTCAGGCCAGCCACCTGCCATGGAGCCATGGCTTGCAGGGCAGAGCATGGATACAGCTCTGCTGGGAACACACCTCATGTACAGAACAGACATCAAACGGGACAGTGAAGTGCTGAGCTATTCCCCTTGTGTATTAATCTTTAAGAGCACTGAAGCACTTCTCATAGCAAAAGAAAAAGTAATTTGATTGCAAGAAGAATAAGAGAAAGATTCAGGGACATTCCTGTAGACAGAATGCCTAAAAGTACCACCCTGAGTTTAGAGATTATTTTATTCCAAGGGACTACTTCTGTGTCAAAGCCATGTCAAACAACAACACTGATAACAAATGGACAATTCAATGTTCAGTAACATCTGTGACCATAGCTACTCTGTGGTTTGTGACAGCAAAATGACAGAGAAGTGACTGGTGAGGAAAGCGATCAGGTCTCTAACTTGAGGGATGGAGAAAATAATACTTGAATATTACTGAAAAACAAATTAGAGGAAAATAGACCAAAACAGACCAAAATGCTAAGTGGTATCTGCACATGCTGTTCTTTCAAAATGTTAACAATTCTATATGAGGGCCATGAGAGACCACTATGTTTCAGCAAATAATTCAGCAAAGAGCTCTCATCAGGAAAATACTGATCCTGACCCAGCACACTTGGGACCTCTGCACATGGGGTTGGGGGCTCCATGTAAGCTCAAGCCCAGGCTCCGTATTTGTTCTTGTCTTGGGGACCAACCTTGTATCTATGCTGAAGGAAGCCTGTCCTGTCTCTTTGCCTTGCAAACCTGGCTTACTGCCTTGACCCCGGGCCTGCCTTGTCACTGCAGACTCAGCTGATGGCCACTAGTCTCTGGCTGAACCTGGCTGCTGCCTCTGAGGCAGCTGGACTCCCTCTGTGCCCTGCCCATGCCTGCTGCCCCACTTGCTGCTGGTTCCCTGTCCCTGGGGAGAGCTTAGTGCTCCCTGCCCAGAGGAAAGCCAATCAGAGCCAATAATATTCCCTCTATCAGTGAAAATTTAATTTATTTCAGTTTGCTCAGCAAATAATCCTCTGCTTTGATAGACCATTTCAAAGCCCTCAGAAATTAACCTAAATCTTTTCTTTCTCCTCAGAAAGCTCTACATGAGCAGACACAGCCGCAGCCTACCTCTAATGACCCAGCAGTGAATAGCAAAATTCTCATCAGCTTCAAAGGGAGAAGGAATAAACCTTGAGCCTCAGTCCTTGAACCCACAAAGAAGATAACAAAAGCAGTCCCCTGCAGAGCCTCATTTAACAGAGGCCTTTATCAGTAAGACAAGGTGATATTAACTTGCACTGGGAGTGTGAATGGAAGAATACAGGAACTTTACTAGTACAGAGAGCCAGATGTAAAATGGATATGTTTATTATAAAAATATAATGTAATAAATCATTACTATGAATGAGTTTATAATACAATATTATTATTTAGAACTTGCATCATGTTGTCTCTTAACACAGTTAAATAAAAATGTATTATTAAAATTCAGTTAATAATTGTATGAATACCATTAAAAATTTACTTAATATGCCTGTACTTGAAAGTTAAGTAAACCTGCTGTTTTATTAAAGAGTTTTAAAGAGAGTTGCAAATGTTTAACTTACTAAGCAGCTGCTGAGCTTATTTGCCCTGCTGCTCTTCGACATAGACATGGAGTGCTGAAGTCCATTGAGATTCTGGTAAAAGCTATTTCTACAATCTGATTTTGATTAATGAAGTTCAGTGCAGTATAATTTGACAAACCACTGACATTACTTACAGAAAAAAATAATAATCTCTTACCTCCATTGTCTTTAAGGTGCAGTGCTATCTTGGTGTCATCTAGAAAGGAAATTTCAAGTTAGTTGTAGGAAAATAAACTTGTCTAGGTCATGAGTCATTTCAGGAATGACTTTCTAACGTCAAAGAAATTTCACAATTAGAAAATTATTTGGTGCTCAACTCACTGAGAATTAGATTGTGGTGTTCTTACTCATGCTGAGCAACATTTTACTTCCTTACTAATGAAAAAACAGTACAGTGTAAAGAACATTCAAGATACTGGTAAATAAGGGTCTGTCTCATAACACAAACAATTTATTTATGTTACATGTTCATACATAGCTTGAGTATTCTATCATATTAAGGACTATATGAACAAACATATGACAGTAAAATAAAACAGTGACTTAGTTCCTCTTCTACAAATCACGGAAAGTTCTACCAGCTTTAAATCTTATTTATTTCCATTCACTTCTTCTTGTTTTGAGCTTTGATGAACAAAATGCCAGGGAACAATGCTGCTAATGCAGTCCAAATCCTGCACCAACAGTTTCTAACCTCCTTTTGATGCAAACAAAATCAGCCTTTCTTACCTGTAGATTCCCAGTTTGAAATGCCTTCAGTTAAAATTTTCATGTGACAGGCCACTTAAAAAATCTGCCTGTACCTAGTACCTTTTCTACTGTTAACATACAATTCCAACAAAAAACTCCTCATGCCTCCCTCCCCACCCCTTTTTATAGGTGCTAAAATGTTACTTGATTAATCTGGGTTACCTTTCCTACCCAGCTGAATTTTTCCTGAAGCAGGAAAGCAGAATAACTAAACCACAGAAACGGAAGAATTAAGCAGCCAGTGGAACCAGGGTGAGCACTGACACATCATCACTTACCCAGTTAATTCAGCTCAAAAGCCTATAGAAACTATTTCACAACAGTGAGGACTACATGAAAACAGGGTCAACTGACTGAAAAAAAGATAAAGAGGCAAATTTCAAAGAGGTTTTTAATTTGGGCTATCTCTAATTTTCACCTGGCTAAATAGAATACTCAAAGGGATTAAAAATACAATTATGTCTGTGACAGGAGCTTCTGCACCAACTTTAGCAGGGCCCTCTCCATCTACTCTTTCAACAGGTTCTGGACTACGGCCTGATGGTTAAAGGAACATAAGCAGCTCATTATAACCACAGGTTCTCCAGAGGTCTGCCTGACTTGTCTGTGCATCCCCAGCATTGCCCCCTCCTCCAGCAACCATCCCCTTTGCACCTTACTACTGTGAGAGCAAGTTGCAATTTAAAAGCAGCAGCAGATATTGCCTCGACTGGCAATTCCCACTCCCTCCACTGCCCCAGAAATTCAGTCAACACAAAATTAAAGGAAATTATTTCTTTTAGGCTTGTAAATGATGTGTTCACACTACAGAATAATGCAATGTACACACGTCACCTTCCGTGGGCAGGCTAGTTGGCAGGTGGGAAGTGGTGGATGCTCTGGCAGTTGTTAAAACTCTGAACTTTGTGGTGGTTGGCAGAAGGGTGGTGGTAGAGTATGGAGGTGTTTCAGTTGTGTCTATATTCTCACAAATCTTATCTTTCGACTGTTGAGAAACAACAAAAACAAAGAAGAGAAAATTAATTCTCAGTGGAGGCTTGTCACTGAATGAAGAATTTAAGCATGGACAAGCTGTCAGGATAAAAAGAATGAAAATGGAAACACTAAATCATGGATTTTATTTATTTTTAAGTGCTCTACAGTAAGCAACACATATTTTTCATTTAGATGTAAAACTTAAAACACTTAATTGCTAATGACAAAGCTTCAAAGTAAATCCTGAATGTCAAACATGGTATTTCCCCCAATCAGATTGTGACATTCAAGATTATACATCAAATTTTTACTGTTAATTTTCAATGCTCACTGCTATTGGCCTGGGTGTCATAACAATAAAAAAAAAGATATATGGGAATTAAAATGCAGCTTTAGTAGTGAGCAATGTGTAGTTAATTGGAACATTCAATTAAGTTTTACATTCAGTTATCACAGAAGAATATGCATATATGTGTAAAATGTGTGCATGTATTCAGCCTGTAGAATAGCGATACACCACACTATAGAGCAACAGTCACTATATACCTATTAAATCTGTATAATACTAATTTTTCACATAAGTGTATATAATAATTACTACATAAAATACAAGCATTATAAAAGTAAGCTAAGAATAAATCAATAACACTAATTATTATATTATATTATATTAGTACACAATAAATAATATTCACTGTCATATAATTGATAATTTATTTTTTATTTTTATGGACAAATGTTTTGATATGAATCTCAAGGTTTGGTTTTTTTTGGTTTTTTTTTTTTTTAATTTCTGGACAATTTCTGCAGGTGTAATAAATATTTTATTTTATGGATCACACACTCTGGCAGGAAAATACATCCAATTAACTAGCAGCAAACATGGGAGCTGCCTGTAACTCCTGCTGTCCCCATTCATTTAATGAGGAATGGAATCCTGCAAAGCCTGTTCATTTTATTGATGTCTGGCTGTAAAAACTAAGTGGTTGTTATCTTTATTTTAATATGCATGGTTATTCTATTGCTCTTTGTTTTACAAGAAACAATGCGTTATATTAAAAAGAGGTATCAGTATAACTATTCTTAAAATGTCTTCATGTTTTAGCTTGAGAACCACTATTAATATTACTGATGCAATTTAAAATTTAGCTAAAAATCTGTATTACAAAGAAGGAAACATCACAGTGAGAATCCCCATTATTTATCCTCTTGAATGACTGGCTCCAAAATTAACCTCTGTGTGCTCATTATTACTCCTTCATTGAACTCCAGCTTGGGCATCATTCTGGAAGAGGCTAGGTAAGCTGTTGCTTCTACTCCAGAAAGCCTGAAAGCTGGACTGTGAGTAGCAACCCAGTAGCCTGAAACTGTGTAAATCAAACTATTAGTGCCTCAGATACACTTAGTGTATCAATATTTTCCTCAGTTCATTTGATAACCCTTGGAGCAGTAGTTGTGCTGAAACAAGAAGCAAGAAGTAGAATGGGATGCTACTGACCTGCAGAGAAAAGGTTTTAGATAACATCTGCTGGCACAATTGAATCCAATCTTATTATAATCTGGATTAAAGCAATACAAAGGTTGTGTACTATAATAAAAAATAGTCCCACTAACTCTTATGCTCTTGTAAAGGTTGTCTTCCCCAGACAAAAACCCTCACAGAAATTCCATTCCTAATTAATGAGTTTAAAAACTACAAAGCTGAGGCTTCAAGCCCATATAATATGGCAGTAGGCAGGACACAATCATTTTGCAATTATAGTTACAGGAAAAACAAAATATTCTTCCATTAGGCTGGATTTATATAATTACTTCTCTTGTTTCTACAGAGAATAAAACAGAATATCCTTTTCTAACTAGACACTTGGGGCTACATTTTGTCCTCAGTTTCACCTGACATTACACTTTGGAAGGGTTATGTTGATGTAACTCATGACAGTAACCCTTTCAGACAAAATGGAAAAGTAACTGCTTTTTTATGGCTACCAATAGTTTAAAAGTGTCATAAATTAATTTGTTCCTATTACCACAATCCTGAAACGAAAAAACCCACAACAAAAAAGAAGCATCAGGAAGCCCAGGAGGCCTGTAGCCCCTGTTTGACAGTCAGCCACTACAACAGTAAGATAACTTTCTTATTCTCTCACTGCCTCTCCAGGAAAGGACATCCAAATGTATTGTAGTTGGGATTTGGTTGTTTTGTTGTTGTTTTGTTTTTGTTTTGTTAGTTTTTGTGAGTTGTGTTTTTTAGTGTTTTTTTGTTGTTTTTGTTTGTTTGTTTGTTTTTAGATGTTGTAATTAATCTATCTAATTTCTTCTGTACAAAGTTATTTGGCCAGATTTTGTAAGTGAAATGCAAGACATGCAGTGCCTGTTTTCCACATCAGACTTCTCTGGCAGAGGGGTTTCTGAGATAAGAACTTCCCAGTTTCTTCCACTTTTCTGACAAGAGTCAGAGATCAAAGAGAAGAACAGTGATGGACATTGTTTTGGGTCAGGCTTTCTGGTATTTATATTATTTTTTTAAAGTATTTTCTCAGAGATAAAATTCTATGTTGTGTTGATTTTACTCCCTGAAATGGAGAGTGCAATTGCTCTGCCTACTTTTCTTTATTATACCTTATGGCTTTTCCATTGAATGACAAAGACAAATATAGCATGTCTTTGGCCTTGAAATCATGCTTCTTAACATGAAGAATTTAATCAAAAGCATAATAACTATATAACAGAGCTCTGATGGGCTCAGGATGTAAACTACTCACATACCTCTTCAGGGCAGCCACTGTCTACCCAGTCCTGCCGGTGACGGTCAAATCCACTGGAGCACCTTTAAATGATGAAACAGATAGAAGTTATCCAGATTGAAATAGGGGCAAAACAAGAAAAAGAAATTAAGAGAGAGTGACAGAATAATAAATTACGTGATTTATTTTAAATTCCAAATGATTATGTAGTATTACTTTTATTCAAGAGGCTGTTGCTCACACTATGAGCCAATCATTTAACCCACTTCAGTGAAAGCATTTCAATTAATGGATTATTATTTTAGGTACATAATTTATCTATCTCTCTATCTCTCTATCTAATTTTTAAACGGGTATGTCTACCTTCCACTGTATAATTATTCTTAAGACTGCACTGAGCCATAGCATTTTTAAGTTTGATGGCAGTCATATGTATGTAAATTGATTTAATTATTTCTGTCCAGACTTCTTAACCAGGAAAAATTAATCCCACAATGGATGTAGAGACCCAGTCACTGCTTTTATCAGGCAAGGTGATCTGAGACATCAAGCTACACATATAACAATGTGCTCAATGTTCACAGATTTAGATAACAGCTCTTCTGAAGAGCCTTCATGACAATTAGAGAACACCATAGAGCTGCTTCTGTGTCCTCACTAGCTACAGAAAACTGAAGTTGCATGCCTATTTCTTATCAAATTAGGTGAGGTTAATGACCTCTTGCAATATCCTTTCTCATATGCATTATATAACGAAGAAATTGTAAAGCAAGTTCTAACATTTTAATATAAAGACTCTCCGGGTAATCCCCATCTAATCAGAGTTTTACCAGTGATTATACAGTAACAGTTTATACAGTTTCCTAGACAACAAGTAGCATAAAAACCAGAAAGCATTATAAAAATGGCAAGCAAATAACTAAACCATGATGTCCAATGTCAAAATAGATTATCCCTAGTTAGAGTTCTTTCAAAATTTATTTTCTGCATGATTTTCCTGCAGTATTTCATTATGAGGTTCTCATAATTTACCAGATTATACAGCAAATAACTTACTGATTATATTTTAATAAGGTGAGGCAAGCAAATAAGGCCACTCTTAGGGCTAGCGCTATTTATGGGGTCCTTTTTTGTTCTCGATAGACTGAAAGATGCCAAGACATGCCAAGTACTACCCTACTTCAACCAAGGTAAACAGGTGTATTTGGCAGAATGGAACAGTGAGAACATTTTTATAGTTGGAGAAGACGTCACAAGATGTAAACAATGTTAACAACATACTTAGGATAATAAAATTCACCACATAATTACTCTGAGCAGAATCTACAATGTCTTTGACAAAAGATTTTGAGGAAATATGGATTCTCTTTTTAGTTGTACTTCCACTGATCCACATTCCACCAATAGCAATGTTATTTAAAAAATATTGCAAGCCTAACAGGTGTCAATTATCACTCACTGTATAGCAACTGACTTTTCCAAGAACCTGTTGCAGTGAAGGAAAAAGATTCCCAAACCAGAAATGTATTCCTGAGAACTGCAGAGACCTTCCCAATGCATGGTAATAAATGCTATTGTAAAGTTTTCTCTTCTTGCTGAAGGCTGAGTGAATCAGTGCAAGGATGGGACATCAGTGCTGCCTCCCCATCTTTGGGGAATTCTGCCTCCATGAATGTTTGAAAGAATAAAGAGGACCTTGGTAGGCAGAAATAAATGACATAACATTCCAGGTATGAATAAAACTTTTTAAAATATTTTTTTATTTTTTAAGTGTCAGTCTTCATTAAACCCTGGGCACTGCTTATATAACATTTTCTGTTGCTGCAACAGTGAGTCCAAACAATACTATCAGAAAGCAGCTTTATGAGGAACTAGATAGGCTCCAAGCAAACTTGTTTGTGAACTTCCTCTCAGGCATGTGTCAATAAGCTTTCAGTTGTAGCAGATACTATTATTCTTTCACCGTTGAGTTAGAATTCTGGGAACTGTCCTTTCAGAGCACTATCCACTCTATTGACTGCATTTTTAAGACCTTTATCTAGTATCATGGTGATAATTCCCTGTTGCCATTAAAACAATGGAGCAGATTTGATTAGCTGTGCCAGTCATGCCATCTGTCAACACAGTCATTTTATAACAACTTCATTTTCAAGTGAGGAATGAAATCAGCTCCTAGTAAAGCAATAACAAACATGTTCTAGGAAATGAGAATAGAGACATTCATGAAATGTAAGGAACTCCAGTGTGGTACTTGGGAGTATGGGTTCAGGGAGCAAAGGGAGAATAAAGTCTCTGCATTTATAGCAGTGATGATCTGGTATAACTACTGCAGCTAAACCTAGGTAACAAGAATGATGTCAGAATCCTCTATTTTACCTCTAATTGGCAGCGAGTTCTTATAAGACAAGAACTGTCCATTCAGTGTGTGAGCTGAAACACTTTGCTTCTCTTTTAAGAAAGTTCAAGGAGGGTAAAAATATATATAAATATAATTTTTTTTTTCCTGGATATTGGTAACAGCATATGAAGAATGGTTTTCTGGAAACTGAAGGGCATTCCAGATATCTAAAATGATTGCTTAAATATCATGCAATTACTCAGCTCAGTTAAAATGTTTATTAACTCTACTAAATAAAACATTAACTTGAAAAATTAAATAGAAAATTGAAGACAGAAGTCTTCTCTGCCTTTAACCACTAAGGAAGGCACATCACGTTAGGAGAAGATCAAGAGACTTACTAGGTTGTTTGATTTACTAAAAAAAACTTAAACATTTTAAAGTGGAACTTCTTTCCCAGCTGAGAGATTTGGGAAGTAAAAAAATAACTTTATATATATATGTATAATATGTATTTTAAAAAAAATGAAAGTACTGTGAGCCTTGAACTTTGTATGTGTCAAACTGAAAAAAATACCTCTAACCAGAGTGATTTTTGGAGGGAAAAATCACTATATTTATGATCTGACTTTGCCTTCCCTTTACTGCAGAACAGGCTTCAGTTTGGTTCCTCTATCCTTTGAATATCAATTTCTTGTCATGCTCTGATGTCTGGGAAAAGACTGTCTTTTCCTCCCTTTTTTATTTTCCACTTTCCCTTGCCATAAATGGAGAAATTTATCAGAACTCAAAGCTCTTATGAAGTGTCACTGTGAGTGACTGTGGCATGAATTTGTAAGGTATTTGAGTGGTATTGGTGCTTAGCCTCTAGCTCATAATTAAACGTATTGCTTAATTAAACTGTACTTCAGAATAGGATGACAATTTGACTTGTTAGAAGAGGATTTGCTCCCATTTTGTTGTTATAAGGTAGGAATAGTTAAGATGATTTGCTAAATACAGGGATTTTAAACATATTAAACACAGTCTATACTCTTTTAATGTTTATGAAAAATTCAAATATAATTACTGAGGCATAGTTAATACTTGAGGCAGCATAACTGCATCTGCAGCACAGAATTCCATCATTATCTTAACATGACATGCCTCTCAAAATTTCCAGCATTCAGGTGATGTTAAGGAGGATCAGACAGTGGCACAAATTTAGGCAGGCAATCTTCAACCTGATGATGGTTCCAGAATTGTATTATACTACATGTTCTATAAAGTACTCTTGCAAAATTGTGTAAATGGAGGAGTGAAAAAAAAATTTAAAAAAGGTATCATTTGACAGGAAAAGAGACTGAACATGAGTAAGTCTCAATATTTGTAACTCTGACACAACATGTGGATAGACAGTAGGAAATACGGACTCACACTGGGAATTCTTGCTGTTGGAAGAGCCTAAGAATAAAAATGGCCTAAAAGAAGTAAGTTTTACTTCCAACTCAACGAGAAAGAAAGGAAAAAAGTCCTACTTAAAGTGAGCCTTGGCAGAGCTCTGATTAAAGAAGAATAGGAGGATATTTTCTATAATCTAAATGTCAGTTACAACAACAAAAGAAACATGCTGAAAAGCAGATAAATAAGAAGCTTTTGCTAAAAGCTTTGCTTTGAATAACTAGAAAGAAAAAGAAAGTATAAGAGGAGGGCCATTAAGTCAATTTTAGGAGATTATGGTATCAGAATTTCCAATAGAATCAGCAGAAAATAATAACAATCAAACACGTTATGTGGAAAGGAGCAACACTGAAACTAGTGTCTGATACTAGATTACATTCTCCTCTGTGCATTTATACCTGCATAAACTGGGTAAAAAGACAAGTAGCAAATTTTTCTGATCTACTGGCACTGCTATCTGTTTTGCACACAAGAAATTGCTCAGGGTTTAAGGCAAAAAGCTCTGAAGCACTATTGGGTGTACTTCACACTTGTTGATGATCCTGACTGGCACAATTAATCCCCCCTTTCTCACCTTTATGTGATTATCTGAACAATTTTCTATCTCTGAATGAGTATTCAAAATGATCTCTTCAATTTTAGGGAGGATCATCACAGAGTCATGGGTGCCAGAGTTGAAAGGGATTTTTTCCTGATATGTCATGATTCCTTCTGGTTAAATAAAAAACAAGCGAGTGGCAAGCTGTATTTTGAAAACTGCTATAAAGCACTTACATGCTTCACACTGACAAATGCAGAAGTACAGTTAGCCTCACATAACCATTGCTTTGTCTCTCATTTTAAAAATAAAAATATGAAGGTCACCTTTGGAGAAAATATTTCCTTTTCCACTTTAGAAATGAGGAAATAGAGCACAGGAGACATAAAATGATTCAGCTAGCATATAATTACAGAACAGGACCTAGATTTAAACCCAGATTTTCTGCAAACCAGATGGGCATACATTAATTCACACCTCCTGTGCTTCCCATAGTACTCTCAGACATATGAATTGTAGAACAGGGAATTATGTTGAAAAATATAATCTCAAGTGGCATGAGCCAAGGCACAGATCTCATTCACACATTGGCCAAGCTTTCTTATTCATAGACCTTTACTGGGATTTTGCTCCTTTATAAAAAAAAAACACCACTTGTAGCACTAAAAAGCAGTACAGTCCTTGGGACAGAATGAAAAAGGTCTAGAGATAGTATGAAATAGAGCTGTTCAGATTTCTGTTACCACACACAACCCCCCAGCAACTGT